GTCTGTAGCATGTTCCCTTCTTAGAAAACAAGCGAGGGTGAAATTCGGAAAAAAAAAAAAAAAAAAAAAAAAAAAAATAGTCATTTGCAAAACAAAAAAACTAGATCCACAAAGCTTCGCGTGGTTCTGAAGCAGTGCGTAACAGTTTTGATTTCGCGCTTAAAATTGTGCCGCAAAGTATCGTAACAGTAACATTCATTCCTGTCATAATTATTAACTGGGTATAAACTCAAGCCTATTCAATAGATCGCTGAAACTCATATCTTGTTCTTTAGAGAGCCCAAACGCAAAGCATGTTCAACCAACTCACATTACATTCCTTACGGGGTCAATTATGTCACCAGCTTGTGTATAGTTCTACAGAACAATTCAGCTTGCATAATTTAATAAACGTGCTCAATATGACGCCATAATAAATATTCCTTTACCCACGGTTTTCAACAACAGTTGAAGGGAGCAAACTCTATCCTTTAGACCACAAAAGTGATTTTAGTCTTGAATATATGTTAATAGTCTTCAGAAATACTAGAAATGTAGGGAAAATCGCATAATTCCTTGTCTTTTCTATGCACCACAGAATATCTTAACGAGTCGTCATTTTAACATTCAACTAGGATAATTCTGGAGACATGGATTTGAAAAATTCTGGTTTCTGAGAATAAAGTATGATGGTAAAAAAAAAATGGCGCATCTGTCCATTTGAGTTAAAGAGCACCTAACAGCTGAAAATTTGTTTATTAGGGGGACAGGATTTTATAACGTTGTCAACAGGAACTCCTAAATGCGCAGTAAATTAACAACCAAGTACCAATAACAGTTTTATTTACATTCAGACCATCCAATACAATGAAGTAGAACAATATTGTACCCACCTAGAGTGTCTTAAACTAACGAAAACATTGATAATACAACTTTCATATATCTCGACTGAGGTGGCATTACTAAGTAACACTAAATGGTGGTAAGCAAAGTCTGTTAGTGAAGGCCGACATACGACGTACACAATTACAAGATATGACAATTTAAAAAAAAAACAACAAAAAATATTCTGCGACTTAGATCGGCTAATTTCCACATTTATGATTAGTCTACCATCTATTTTTCAAAATATATTGAATTCACAAGACTGAAACAAAATTAACAGATTAAAACACCAATTACTTGCTTGTATATTAAAAATCAGATAAGGTTTCTAGTACACTCTTAACATGCACTACATAGCTAGCGTTACAAAATTAACATTACATCATGTATAGTTCAGACAGCGTTAAAAACAGCTCGGCCAAATCTCATTGGATTAATCAAATCAGTACCTTACTGCTAACATAAGGTTAAAAACATGATAAAACCATTACATTAATATTAAATAACATAATTACCAACACCTCAACAAAATCTTCCATAGTAAGTCTAACAAAGGACCGTCCACCGGTCGTCACTTATGTATCAACACTGCCGACAAATAGTTAACATTCACTCTTTTTATACATTTTCGCGCACGTGAATTCACCTTCACGTGCATACTCACATCCGGTCTCTCAAGTAGCTTCGTATTTCCATGTCCTAAAAATAAGAAATACCAACTAAACTTATTATAACATATGTACATGTAATTATCAATATGCAGAAATATTATTTGAAAGAGGAGTTTAAGCATAGTACAAAGAATTTTTTCAGCTAATTTTAGGAAAACAGTAGTAGTTATAGTTCCTAGTGAAAAGTCAGTTATTTTTACGAAGAGGAATCGAACGCACAGGTGATGTTCACATGGGCCAATGATAGGCTTAAGCTATGAAATTAATACCACGCACATGTATGTTGGTTTCGTTTTGGTCACATGAATACCTTGGCCAATGAAATGCTTGTGTTATGAAATTGATTGTATAAAAGCCTGGATATTTTATCACTATATCACTTTTCAACAATTAGGAGAACAGACTGATAAAGGTATGATATACTATGTAAAGTTAAAGGGACATTCCGCTTTTTTTTGTAGGTCGAAATTTTTTTTTGCTCAAATTTGTGAAAACTATAGATTAAAATCTATATAAGTGTATCCCATAACGTACCTGAATGTCTTGATTTAAAAAATCTAGCCGTTAGTTTCTTAACGCCAAAACTTTACGTAAAAGGTTATGTAACAAGTTCGTTATGCTTTTTGCAAGCTGTTAGAAAACTACTGTACGGATTTGAGTAAATCTTAAAAATTCTTAATTAACAATTAATACTCTCAGTTTGTAATTAACCTTTTTAAAACAAATTCAATTTGATCAAGTAGATCAAGCGTACTTTAGAAATATTTTCAGGTAGAATTTACGACGTTTTTGATAATGAAAGAGTTTTACAAAAAAAAACGGAATGCCCCTTTAATAATCAACAGGCAACTGTGAAAATATTGGAGACATTTTTGTTTTTATACTATTTCGACGTGCATTTATTGTTAACTTTGAGGCTATAATAAAATTTGGAACAATTTTGGTTCAAAATTCTCGGAGGGTCTTTCTATGAAATGATACAACACAAAGCAAACGAGCAACTATGAAATGATTTGAAAAAATATGCCATGTATTATGTTTCAAGAGCAGCTTTAAAGCTGTAATTGATCTTTATCTTATTAACTTCTTTCGTTTTTACTTAAACGAAACTCAGTTACCGATTCCAGTTTCATTCCTCACATGAAGACCTGAATTATTTTGTTCTTTTGCAGATGACCTCAAGAATTAAAATAAAAGTTTTATATCCAGCTATACCAAGAAAATATAATTTGCTGCAACAGAAGATGGGGTGAAAGAGATTTTTTTCCCAGAAGAATTTAAGAAAAGGTTCGTGGAATCGGGGAAAAATTTAATCCTGTATAATGCTCTTGCATCCGACACGGAAGTAGTGTATGGGCTTATAGATTGGTCGCATGGGGATTCCCCATTCCATTTCTTTTCATGGGGAAAATGCGACCAATCTATAAGCTCCCAAAAAAGACCAAAATTCCCTACATTTCATAAATTCTTACAGCAAAACATCCTACATTTCATAAAATTCTTACATCCTACATTTCATAAATTCTTACACTTAAAAAAAGACCTGAATTATTTTGTTCTTTTGCAGATGACCTCAAGAATTGAAATAAAAGTTTTATATCCAGCTATACCAAGAAAATATAATTTGCTGCAACAGAAGATGGGGTGAAAGAGATTTTTTTCCCCGAAGAATTTAAGGAGAGATTCGTGGAATCGGGGAAAAATTTAATCCTGTATAATGCTCTTGCATCCGACACGGAAGTAGTGTATGGGCTTATAGATTGGTCGCATGGGGATTCCCCATTCCATTTCTTTTCATGGGGAAAATGCGACCAATCTATAAGCTCCCAAAAAAGACCTAAATTCCCTACATTTCATAAATTCTTACAGCAAAACATCCTACATTTCATAAAATTCTTACATCCTACATTTCATAAATTCTTACACTTAAAAAAAGACCTAAACTCCCTATTCACCAAAAAACACCTTCAATCAATTTCCTACATTCCATCAAAAAAAGCATATTAAAAATACCCTTATATACAAATAACATCCTTGTTTCGCTTAACATCCGGTTTTAAAATAGCCTCGTTTTAAATAATGTTATTTTTAGTCTAGAAACTTCTAGAAGGGAGATAACTCTTTCTTTGGAAACACAATTTCTTCGTTAAATTAATTCATTTAAAAATAGGATGAGTTTAATTCTAAACGAACAACACAGATTCGAAGATTATTCGGGCGACGGTATCTTTTCTTCATTATTTTCTCTAGGTAAAACAATAATTCCAAAAGTAGCTAGCTTTGTTTCAAACAACAAATCACTCATTTCAACCGGAGCTAAAGCCGTCGGCTCAACCGCCCAAGTGGGAAAGAGTATAAGCGACGCAGTGAAACAATCTGAGAATTGAAAGAATTACAACTAATAAGAGATCTGCGAAACAGGAGATTAGAAGAAAGGAAAGGAAAATCATTGGGTTCTCTTCCTGGATTTCCATGGGCGAAATATCCCGGAGAAAAACATCTTCCCGGTCATAATTACACTGGTCCAGGTACTAGGTTAGATCTAAAAACTAAAAACTTTTTAAAAGTTAAAGTGTTTGAAAAAGATGAAATATGGTCGGCCGATTTAATTCATATGCCAGTCGAAAGAGGATTTAAATATTGCTTAACAGTTATAGATTTGTATACAAGATATGCTTGGGTTATTCCTTTGAAAAACAAAACGGGATTATCAGTCAAACACGCATTTGAAACGATTATGAAACAATCTAACCGTCATCCAGAAAAACTGTGGGTAGATAAAGGAAGTGAATTTTATAACAAAAATATGAAACCTCTGGGATTTGAATTTACAGTACGCATAACGAAGGTAAAGCTGTAGTAATAGAAAGATTTAACAGGACTCTAAAAAATAAATTATTTAAAAAGTTCACGGAATTGAAATCTCAAAAATGGCTTAAAATATTACCAGAGATTGTAGATGAATACAATAACAAAATTCATTCATCTATAGGTGTCACACCAACACAAGCCTCGAGTAATCCAAATATTATAAAGTCAATTAACGCGCAACATAACGACGAAAATGAAATAAAGAATTTAAATATCAAACCCAAATTTAAAGTCGGAGATCGAGTTCGTATTTTCAAATATAAAAGCAAATTCGAAGAAGGTTACGTTGGATACTGGACGAACGAAATATTCATCGTTGATAAAGAAAACAGCACATCACCTCCGATATATAAATTAATCGATCAAGACAAAGAACAAATCATAGGAAGGTTTTATCAAAATGAACTTCAAAAAACCGACTTTTAAAAATGAATGAATTTCTAATGCAATTGACTAATAAACCATCTAATGTTCTTCCTTTCAAATTCAATTACCGGGACAAAAGTTTTGTGGACAGCTTTCACTTTGGGTTTTATATCAGTTGAGTTTAGGAAAACAGTTCGAAGAAATTGTAATAAATTTAACTCAATAAAAATGGCGAACAAGTTTGGATTAGGTTCTTTATCTTTAGAAACTAAAAAACCTAACACTACAGCGTGGATAAATAAAGCGAAACCTTATTTTGTGGATCAAATCGGAGACACTCTTCAAGGTGATTTAGATATGAACAATTTCAAAGTAACTAATTTAAAGTCTCCGGAAAACGATAATGACGCTGTTCACAAGAAATATTTACGGGATCAAATAAATTCAATTGAAGTAAATAAAAACCATTTAGAAGATAAAATAAGTAATGTGAAAAGATTCTTCAAACGTCAACCAAATATTAAAAATTTTGTTAATGATACTAAAAGAATTGGTCAACGTAGCGAACAAAACTGAGTTACAAAATTTAATTTCATTAATATCTAAATTAGAGGATAAGATTGCAAAACAAAAATTAGACATTCAACAATTAATAGATAACATTCGAGATGAAAATGGAGATACGTTTCAACAGGAATTAAATGCACTGGAAACTAAACTTAACAGTGAATTACAAAAAGAACTAAGAAATATTAAACAACAAATACAAAACATAGATGATAGCGAAATCACAACAAATACAAAATATTGATGATAGCGAAATCAAAACCTATATTCAACAACAAATACAAAACATTGATGATAGTGTTATTCAACAGATAACCACTATTAATAACCTAATATAGTCGCATTAGAAAAAAACTATCTCAAGAAAGAATCATATTATTTCAATCTTCCATTTGGAAATTTGAGATGTGGTTTTTCTACTACTAATATTGATAGATCAAAAGACTATGAATATAAAAAATATGGATTTAAAGTAAATATAAGAATATTTTCTACTTCAAATTTTCTTCGCCCCTATTATATATTTAATAGTGATTATCCAATCAGATTTTACTTTTAAAGGAAAACTTGTGATTGAAATTAATTTTCCCATCCAGGTAAAAGTTGATTCATTATTCTTCAAACAAAAACTCACAATTTTCATCTAATAAAAAATTTAACGCTCAAAAAGTTCTTCAGTTTATCAATGGTAGAGACAATGTAGAAATTAAAGAATATGAAATTAACGATGAAAACAACAAGGTTAATCACTTATATGAAATTAAAACGAGTGGAAAATATATAGATAGGTTTAGAATGTTAATCATTCCAGATAATAAAGAAGATGAACTTTCATTGAGTGATTTTGATATGATATTACAGTCGAAAACTTCACCATCAATTAATATCAATAGAAACCCAGAATCATTTACCAATTATGACTTTTTACGAACGACAGACTTTGAATACGTAAAACTATATTTTGGTAATAATAGTTATTCACAAGAAGATAGCTCTTCAACTGATTTATTTACCTCAATCGATATTCATAAAAGTTAACAAAATAAAGAATTTATAATATTTTCATCAATTATTGAACGTAATGATGGAACAGAAGTTGGAGGTATATATACCTGTAGATGTAAAATAAGAATCAATATCGAAAAACCAAAATTTTCAGTTCATCTAAATAAGATTAATGATTCAAAAGAACAAATATCTTTAGTAACTATAGAAGTTTGTATTATTAAACCTGAAATAATTATAACAGATAATGAAAAAATAAAGAATAAACGTCTTTTTGGGCAACCAATTATAGATCTTAAACAGTTTCCATCTTTTGGTTTATCAGAAGTTCACTTAATTTAATTATCTAAAAATGGAACTCGAAAGTAGACAATAATATATGATAGAAAAACAAAACGAACTAAAACAAAAACTAAAACAATTCAACAAATGTAGAAAAACATGGAGTAGAATCGATTATGTTTTGAAAACATTAAGTACAGTTTTAGCAGTAGGGATAACGATGGCAATAGCCGTAACCGGTGGATTAATGCTTCCAATAATTGTCCCAACTGTATTAGCCGCGTTCACTGCCGTTCAAACTTCATCTTGTGGATTTATTACTTTAGGTTTTACATCAAAAAAGAAAGCTCATTATAAGAAGAAAACAGAAATTTTAAATACATATCTTAATAAATTATTCTTTTTTTTCGAAAGATCGAGAGAAGACAAGAACATAACAGTTGAAGAATTAGAAAAATTCAATGAAATTTTAGATAAATTTGATGTAGAAATATCATCATTAACAGTTAAAAATTCCTAGTTAAAAATAGTTGCTTAAAAAATATGAATAAAATTGAAATTTTAGACGATGAAAAATTCATATCAAATGAACTTTTTTCCGATGTTATTGACCTTATCTCTGATGAATTTATAACATTTAAAGGGCAAATTGAATTAGATGGAGAGATAATTCAAGATGGAAAATACAAACAAAACATGCAATTTGTAGGTTTTAATACCAAAACTTTTGTCAATTTCTTCGCTGCAGTGGATAATAAATCGGATGCTTCTGGTTGGTATTTCACAGGAAAATGATTTTACGTAAAAACAATTTCAAAGAAATAAAAAGATCTAAAAAGGGTAGTGGTGTTACCCTACTCAAAAAGATAAATGAATATAGCGGCATAAATTGTTATATACCGAGCGATGGATACTGCTTTGTAAAGTGCGTAAATTATGTTTTGAACAAAGACTACACAAAAGAAACAGTTTTTCAAAATCAAACAGAAAAGGAGTTATGACAACTGCTAGAATCTGTGAATTCAATAAGAAATTTAATACTAATTTTCAAATTTATATGCCCAAACATAGACAATTTCAACCAAAGAAAGTATCCGAAGAATTAGATTGGATATTTTACTTACATAAATCACATTTCTGTCTCATTAGAAGTAATAACAAAACTTTAGGCATTACACATATAGAAGATAAATACGATGAAAACGTATGGAGAACTTGTAAAGATGCGACAACGCAAGTTTCACCTCTAAAACTAAACGTTTTTCCAACCATTCTCGATGATTGTTTATACGCATGGGATTGCGAGACCTATAACGAAAATAAAGCCATACCTTATTCTTGCACGTTAATTAATTTAGAAAAACTAAGAAAAATGTTAGACAGAATGTATAATCTCTTTCCAGATTTAAAGCCGACAGATCCCATTCTAGAAGAATTTTACAACAAACTCATGACTAATATAGTAGAAATATTTGTAGGTACAGAATGTATCGATCAAATGTTACAACGTTTAGGAAAAATAGATCAAAAAAGAATAACATTAATTGCTCATAACGCTAGCGGTTTTGATAACTGGATCATGATCAAAAACGTACAAAAAACTAACACAATGCCCTTTAAAAACACCCATAGGAATTCTGTCTCTACCTTTAACTAATTCATTCACTGTTGAAGATTTACAGAAAAAATGGAAAAGACAGAAAGAAATAAAGGGTAACTCTAATTATTTGCAAAATATTAATTTCATATGTTCCTATCAACATGAATCATCTAGTTTGGCAGCATGGGGAAATTCATCTAATCTACCAATGAATTTGAGAAAGATCGAGGATGTAGACATTGCAAAATACACCAAAGATAATTGGGAACCTTTAAGACACGAATGGGAACCTTACGCTAAAAGAGATACGTTATGTCTCGGAGCTTGTTTAATAAAATACAATCAAGCAATGAAAGAAGTTGTATTTCAGAATATTTCCAATAATCTAACGGCCCTTATTTATCTTTAAAGGGTTGGTATTATTTATATCATTACGATAAAGAAATGATTGAAGAAGAATGGTATGAAAGTACTAGAATGGTTCCGAAACACACCAAAAAATAAAACGTAAAAAAAAAACTCACATACCACCCTTTTATAAGATATTTTATCAGACAAAGTATTAAAGGAGGAAGAGTTTCGGCAAATCGAAAATCATTTGAAACGAATAAAATGGATGAAATTTGTAATATATTAAAGGAATACGAATACACAGAAACAGCAAGTGATAATATAATTGATTTATTCAAAGAATATAGCCCTAGCACGAAAGATAAAGCGGAGGTTCATTCGAGACTTAAAAAAATAAAATGTACTAAACTAATGGCCTTTGATGCTAACGGTTTGTACGCTTCCGCCATGTCGGATTTAGATAGCGAATATCCGAGGGCGGAAAGTGGTAGACCATTTCGACAAGAAGAAAATAAAGAATTAGTTAATAAGCAGAAATTCAGACCTAGAACTGCTATTTTAAAAGTCTGGTTTGAATACCAAGATGTTCTTCCAACCCATACCAGCTAAAGATAAAATCACTTTCACGAATAGAATAGGTAAAAAGGAAACTGGCACTAAAATCAGGTTCAGAAATGGTTTCTGTCACGACGTTTTAACATCGGTCGATATTCAAGAAATAGTGAAAGCCGGTGGACGAATTATTAAAATATTAGATGGTGTAGTTTACGAAGAAAATTTTAAAACTCCACCCTATAGAGATTATATTTTAATTTTGAGAGATCTAAGAAATAAATATAAACGAGAAGGTAATATCGTAGGTAGTAATTGCATGAAATTATTAGGCAATTCATTGTATGGTAAATCTATTCAGAAGGATATAACTACATCGAGACATCTATGAAGTGAAGCGACTTTAAAAGCCAACTACGATTCACATGTCAAAAACTATGAAAGAGTAAATGATAGTCAATATATTGTTGGGATAAATGAAGAAGAAAAAGGGTTTATTCCTCCTAAATCTACACGACTAACACCTAGTCATTTGGGATCATTCGTTTTATCTCCAGTAAAAAAAATAATGAATAATTTTATTCGCGTGATAGATGGATTTTATAAGCCTGAAATATACTATACGGATACAGATAGTTTATACATTTCGTCTAGCAATTGGGATAAATTAAGTGAAGCTGGGTTGGTGTCCGAAAATGATTATTGTAAAGGAAAGAATGATTACGGTGATGGTGGAATTATATTTGGTTTATATTTGGCGCCAAAAGTTAAATACAATATCATTCAAACTTCCGACGGTATTCTAAAAGAAAAGAAAACGTTTAAGGGTTACTCTAAAGATAAGATATCCGTAGAAGATTATATTCGATTAGCTAGTGGACACGATTTAACGAATGAATCTAAGAAACCTTGGGTAAAAAGTTTCACCAATGGAGTAGTTATTCCAAAGGATAAACAAAAGAAAGTTTTTAGAAGTTATCTAAATCTCGTTAAGAGAAAAGCACCAAACAGTGAAGGAATCAAGTATCCTTACAACGACGGAAAAGAATTGAACATAGATGAAAACTACGAATTTGATGATCACGATTATCTAACTATTCAAGAAGAGAATGAAGAGTGTTAATTTTTTTGTTTTAAATGAAGTTGAATAACAATTTCCTCGTTACCAAAATCTATAAACCTATTTTTACCATCTTTGATTTCCAGATTTATATCTTTAATCATAAAGGAATTAAGTGCTAAATACGTCGTTTGAAATGGTTTCTCTGTAATTCTATATCCTATCGGTACAGTGAATGTTGGAAGACTGTAAATAATCTGACGTTTGTATTTATTGAAAAATCCGCCGTTTATCAAATTGCAATGTATATTTATGACATCGATATCATTCTCGATATTAGCTTTGTGTGGGGCTAAAGTGGATTGGGTGTATACTCATTTATCAAATCTAATAACGTATTCAATGAATTTTCTACGTTGAAATCAACTTGACTATTATTTCTTAATATCAATTTTATTTTGTTCAGATTCAAATTACCTTCGAATTCAATATTGTTTTTACCATCGACACTTCCTCCATATTCAGATAGGTATTCGTTAATGGCTATGTATTCGTAGCTTCCTGGTAGTAAACGAATGGTTTTGAACGTAACTCCGTTATCTGTTGATATTTTTATTTGGTTATTTTTTTCGTTGATATTTCTAATGGAATTGTAAACAGAGAAATACTTTAATCCCAATTCATATTCTTGATTGCGATTGAGTTCGTACTCATAATCTAGAGACAATTTAATGTCTTGATTTATTTGAGGTGATGACGAATAGTTGTTCTTTATTTGACATTTTTAATCACGCTTTTATAATCATTTTTATCTATGATACCTTTTTCTAGGAGTCTTTTTAGTATACAATTCACTTCATTATATTGTCTGTGCAATCGATGTCCTTCCTTCATTGCCGCTAATATTACTAGTAATCTATTAAGTAGTTCCTCGTTGTTGTCGGATAAAAACGTTATACCTTCTCCAGATGCCACCATATCTTCGAAATCGTCTATATCTTGTGATTGAATCTTCAGCATAATCATCTGCTTCGTCAACTTCGTATTCATCATCTTGATCAATTACTCTTATATATAGTTTAACTTCTTTCGATCTTCTTGTTTCGGGTCCCGACTTTCTTATTGCATCTAGAAATTTTGAGTATGCTACTAAATCCTTATAATCGGCAATACCAACAACATTCTTCCCATTCATTAAATCTATCAATCCTCTCGTTAATGTGTATATGTAATCTTTTGTATCGATTATAAAACTAAATCTTATTCTAAAACCATTAAACAATAAACCTTGATTATCAACGATTGGTGAAATGCTCTTTGGTAAATCTGGGTTAGGGTTTGAAAAAAGACGATTTATATCATCTAATGTCCTAATTATAATACCATCATATTCAATCGCTTTGGGGTGTTCTATAGGAGGTGTGGGTTCTATAGGAGGTTTATATTCTAATTTCTTTTTAATATCCTCTTGAGATTTTTAATATGGGTTGAAATAGAGTTTGTAGATTTTCTGTTAATCCAAGTTGTTGTAATCTGTTATTTTCAACTTGGGTCTTTATTTTATTCTTAGCTTTGATATATTCTTTGTTTCTTTTTAAAATATTATTCCAATTATCCATTTTTAAAAAAATAAGATTTAACAAATGTCTGTCATAACTCTTTCACCTGCAGGTTTTCTAGTATTAACGAATATATATCCATGATCATTTGGGTTTTTCCATTGAGCTTTACAAACCTTTTTAAATGCATCTCTGTCCATTCCGTGATTTATCGACTGAATGATTTGAGATAAATCTTTATCGTTTAATTCAAATAATAAAAAACAATTTGCATTTTTTCTAATGAACATAGAATCCATCCCGTAAAAAGATTGGGATTGGTATATGCAATGACAGTTGTGATGCCTTCCTTTCGTGAAGAATTCTTGTTGAACAGCTTGATTTCTTTACGCTACGCAGTCGCCAAACAATATTAAGTTCTTTCGTTTGCTATCAATATTAGACAAGTCTAGATCATTAACATTTTTCGTAAGAAAAACTTTTATATCCGTTGGATTCTTTGCTTCGATGTAGTTATCTATGATATCTTTTATTTCCACTTCTTCTTCGTTTTCTTTGTAATATTGAAATAGGTCTTGAACATCTTTCTTTGGTAGATATTCTAAAGAAATTGATAATACGATTGCTCTGGTGTTGTTGTGTAGATATACAAAGAATCGAAATCTAAAAGGTTTGGTGTTGTCAACATGTTAAAAGTGAGATGAGTTTTCCCAGAACCGGAACTACCACATATACACATGAGCATAGGGTTATTAGGAAATATTTCTGAATGATGAAATTTTTTACCCATTTTTCATTATTTTAATTTGTTCCAAAAATCACTCCTTCTCCTTTATACTTTGAAAGAAATATTCCTTCTCCAGTGTGTATATTTTTTAAAAAATATTCCATTACCCTTATGTTTGACTTTGACTTCTCCTGTTTCAATACTATCTACTAATTTATTTAATCCTTGTTTAACAGTTTTCTTGGTTTCTTCCCCAAATCTTTTTCCAAATTCTTTTATTGTGCCTATCATATCTCCCATTCCTGAACCTCGTGCTTCCTTTTCAATTGCTAAATTCTGTCTGCGTTCTTCAGCGACTTTAGCATCAGCTGCTTTATTTGCGTTGGCAGCTTTGACTGCGGCAGATATTCCTCCAGTAGCTGCACCCGCCGCTGCAATACCACCAAATATTAAAGGTAGAAGGAAAGGTAAAAATCCACCTTCTTTTGCGTTCGCGTCAATTCTTTCTAAATCTATTTCGTTTATTATTCGGGCGACGGTATCTTTTCTTCATTATTTTCTCTAGGTAAAACAATAATTCCAAAAGTAGCTAGCTTTGTTTCAAACAACAAATCACTCATTTCAACCGGAGCTAAAGCCGTCGGCTCAATCGCCCAAGTGGGAAAGAGTATAAGCGACGCAGTGAAACAATCTGAGAATTGAAAGAATTACAACTAATAAGAGATCTGCGAAACAGGAGATTAGAAGAAAGGAAAGGAAAAGGTTTTAAAGTTATAGGATAAAAATGATAGTCGCTCACGCTCCAAAACTTATTTCGGTTCAGGAGATATAAAAAAATCCTTGGGTTCTCTTCCTGGATTTCCATGGGCGAAATATCCCGGAGAAAAACATCTTCCCGGTCATAATTACACTGGTTAGATCTAAAAACTAAAAACTTTTTAAAAGTCAAAGTGTTTGAAAAAGATGAAATATGGTCAGCCGATTTAATTCATATGCCAGTCGAAAGAGGATTTAAATATTGCTTAACAGTTATAGATTTGTATACGAGATATGCATGGGTTATTCCTTTGAAAAACAAAACGGGATTATTAGTCAAACACGTATTTGAAACGATTATGAAACAATCTAACCGTCATCCAGAAAAACTGTGGGTAGATAAAGGAAGTGAATTTTATAACAAATATGAATATTTATGTTCACTCCTGTTTTGAAAAGATCTTCTTGGTGAGCTGATAGATCAAAACAGAAGATTGGATGATTAAATGCAAAATCTACATATTCAAACTGAGGTAGATTTCCAAATAATTCACACATATTTTTATAGTTTCTATACAATTCATTATAATCCTTTGTGGTTGGATTAATTGTTAAAGGTTGGTTAGGATAATTATCGTTGTTTAATCTTACTTGAACTTTATGGATTAAAGGATTTTGAGTTTGGTTCATTGCCACTCTAAAGACATTATTGTTATTCGTTTGAGAATCTGGTAAGTTTTTGAAACCAACCATTAAATATCTTGCTGGTTTAATAGTGTTAGTGATTGGCCATGTGGTGGATTCTCCAGTTAAAGTCATGCTACCTACCGTATTACGATGAAGTAAAGCTATTTCAATATTTTTAGTTAATGAGTTGAATATTTCTCGTTTCTATTTCAATTGATAGTGTTTTTAACGGTATGAAAAGTTGGAGATTCGTTTTTTCTAATTTTGGATCTGAACCATATCTGAATATCTTATCATCGTTGATTTCTCTTTGAAGATGAATTTTATATGGTAAGCCTATGGAAACTTTTCTATGTTCGAACAAACCGAATAAAGGATATAATTTCCAATTAACGTAATTACCCCACCTATTATTATCATTGTACTGAAGTACTCGTTTTTCGAATCCATGATTAGCTGCTCGTGCTACTCTTTCTATTGTGTTTCGAGCAACAACTCTCACTCTATCTAAATCAGCATCATTTGCAACATTTCTTACCGGTTCTTTTAAAACGCTTCCGTCACCAACATCGGGTATCCAACCTAAGACTGAATCGAAATCTTTAGGATATAAAACTGTTTTCAACATTGTGTCGAATTCCCCAGGGTGTTTAATTGTTTCTATCGGATTTGAACTAGCTTCACTAAATAAAGATGGAAAGAAATTGTTTTCTAACGTTGTATTAGTTTGTGGAACTTGATTCTGAGTTCCATCTTTAATTTTGAAATCACATCTGAAATAAGCATCGGAAAGAAGCAACCAATTCGATAATGAATTTATTTCGAAGGTAATTCTACCACCATCATTCAATTGGGATGTAGAACCAACAGTCGGTGAGATGATAATATAATCCTCTTTTTTCTTGTTAAACGAATAACGAATCGGGTCGTATAATCTAAAGATTGGATCTAGTATTTTATTTGCTATTTTTAAAGTTTAAAATTTGAGAAGAAAATTGTTTTTTTCCAAAACAAGAGTTATCTCCCTTCTACATAACTTAAAACCAGATGTTATTTTTATATAAGGGAATTTTTAATATGCTTTTTTTGATGGAATGTAGGAAATTGATTGAAGGTGTTTTTTTTGGTGTATAGCAAGTTTAGGTCTTTTTGTAAGTGTAAGAATTTATGAAATGTAGGATGTAAGAATTTTATGAAATGTAGGATGCTTTGCTGTAAGAATTTATGAAATGTAGGGAATTTAGGTCTTTTTGGGGAGCTTATAGATTGGTCGCATTTTCTCCATGAAATGAAATGGAATGGGGAATCCCCATGCGACCAATCTATAAGCTCATACACTACTCACGGATGCATCGAATTTAAAATGTAAAAAGTCAAAAGTAAGTGTAGCTTTATCATCTGCAGCATCCAGCTTAATGGTACAATCATTTGTCTGTCATAAAAGACATTTCGTAGGCCTACTCGTCATGTAACTTATGAATAGACATAATCTTTCCAGTTTTTAACAAATTAGATGAACTCTCGAGCTTACATCATGCCTACAGCTAATTCCATCGTTATATCCATATTAAAAAAAAAAAACATGTTTGTCGCCATATTGGTTTGCCTCATTTTTGCACAAATCGATTCCCAGAATCCATTTTTAATCCGATTTGCGTAACGTTAGTGTCAAACGATCTGTTTAATGTTTGTCTACAAATGATAGGAAGCATAATTTTGATTTTCTGTTTTGTCTTTTTTGTACGACCGGATTGTTTTTTTCAAAGTTTGAAGTTGTATATCTCATGACCTTGACCTTTGATGACCTTCATATTTACTGTGATGATAATTTGTGACCTTGTCTATCCGATGACCTTTTGACCTTTGGGGTCAGATACCTATTTCCTGAAAATGGACCATTTTGAGCCTTTAAAGTGGTATATATAAGTCCCTAATAGAGATAATTATGGCAATCATTCTTTCGATTTTGTAATGTAGAGATTCTGAGCTTTCCATAGATATATAACATATATGCCTTACATGCAAATTCAAAACTCCATTCACTTAACATGCGGTTATTATTAGATAAATCGGCTAATTAGATTAACCTGGTTGTCAACCCAAACAGAAATCAAATTTTAAGTTGTTTTAAAGACACCCTTCCTTTTATATTTCTTAAAAATGTTTTATGTCCAGTTTTGGTATATAATTAAGCTCTCGGGTGGATTGAATCATGTTGTACTGTAGTTTAATCTCACGGCAGCATATTGAAGGTATACCTCCACTTAATTTACCAACTTTCTCATTTCTTATCCGATTTTCATCAAACTTGGTATGTATGTGTATAATCAAATTCAAAATTTGATGGATGTATCGAATTTGCGTAGTGCGCATGCGCATTGCCAACTTTCTTATTTCTTATCCGATTTTCATCAAACTTGGAATGTATGTGTATAATCCAATTCTAAATTTGATGGAAATATTAATTTTTGTTGTGCGCATGCGCATTACCAACTTTCTTATTTCTTATCCTAATTTCACCAAACTTGGTATGTATGTGTATAATCCAATTCTAAATTTGATGGAAATATTGAATTTGCGTTGTGCGCATGCGCATTACCAACTTTCTTAATTATTATCCGAATTTCACCAAACTTGGTATGTATATGTATAATTCAATTATAAATTCGATGGAAATATTGAATTTTTGTTGTGCGCATGCGCATTTCCAACTTTCTTATTTCTTATCCGAATTTCACCAAACTTGGTATGTATGTGTATAATCCAATTCTAAATTTAGGTGGAAATATTGAATTTGCGTTGTGCGCATGCGTATTACCAAATTTCTAATTTCTTATCCGAATTTAATCAAACTTGGTATGTATGTGTTTAATCCAATTATAAATTCGATGGAAATATCGAATTTTTGTTGTGGGCATGCGCATTGCAAAACTTCTTATTTCTTTCCGGATTTCATGAAACTTGGTCTTTATTATTTGACAAACATCCTAGTCAATATACTTTAAACTCCAAGCACTTTTGGACATTTGCATTTAGAGATGCAGAAAAGTATTCACATCAATGTAATTGCAATAGACCATCTTCGTATGTACCTGAATGTCGTAACACGCCCTGCATCAGTACTGTTATTAGAACAGTTCTAGTTGCAGGGCGTTCGTTACCGAACGCCCTGCTTTGTTTTCCTTAATTGAAAAAAATAATCTTTTTTCTTTTTTCCGATACTTGGTCTTCGTATGGAGACGAAACGGTACTTGGTACGGTATTTGTTATACATTGACGTATCTAAACTTGTGGAAGAATAGATTTTAAATGTATAATGGAACATTTGTGCATTTCCGGTTTTGCAAAGACTTAGTTCGGACAGTACTGGAATGCGTATTTACTGCTCGATTTGCATAGGTTTTTTGCATTGTATTGTATAGTCTAAACAACATACAATGGCCTTTTAAAAAATGTAAATTTGCTACATTTTTTAGCAAATTTGTATACCAGAACGTTTTTAGTACAGTACGAAAACGTTTGCTGATAATGCAGTCGATTTGAAATTTGCATGGGGTAAAACTATTATGTCGATAAACCCAAAATTGTTTTCAGATGTTATGCATTATTTACAGTTTTTGCAAAAATGACCCTTAAAGTCTGTTTTTCAACTTTGTAGTTTTCACAAATATAACGAAAAGAACATATGCATCTTATCAAAAATATGATTAGATGCGCATGCGCATTACCAACTCCCTTATTTCTTATCCGATTTTCATCGAACTTGGTATGTATGGGTATAATCCAATTCTAAATTTGTTAGAAATATTGCATTTTTGTTGTGGGCATGCGCATTGCCAAACTTCTTATTTCTTTCCGGATTTCATGAAACTTGGTCTTTATTAATTGACAAACATTCTTTTATTCCTAGTCAATATACTTTAAACTCCAAGCACTTTTGGACATTTGCATTTAGAGATGCAGAAAAGTATTTACATCAATGTAATTACAATAGACCATCTTCGTATGTACCTGAATGTCGTAACACGCACTGCATCAGTACTGTTATTAGAACAGTTCTACAGTACGAAAACGTTTGCTGATAATGCAGTCGATCTGAAATTTGCATGGGGTAAAACTATCATGTCGATAAACCCAAAATTGTTTTCAGATGTTATGCATCATTTACAGTTTTTGCAAAAATGACCCTTAAAGTCTGTTTTTCAACTTTGTAGTTTTCACAAATATAACGAAAAGAACATATGCATATTATCAAAAATATGATTAGATGCGCATGCGCATTACCAACTTTCTTATTTCTTATCTGATTTTCATCAAACTTGGTATGTATGGGTATAATCCAATTTTAAATTTGATGGAAATATTGAATTTTTGTTGTGCGCATGCACATAACCAACTCTCTTATTTCTTATCCGAATTTCACCAAACTTGGTGTCCATGTGTATAATCCAATTCTAAATTTGTAAGAAATATTTAAAAAAAAATTGTGCGCATGCGCATTACCAACTCTCTTATGCGCATAACCAACTCTCTTATTTCTTATCCGAATTTCACCAAATTTGGTATGTATGTGTATAATCCAATTCTAAATTTGTAAGAAATATTTTAAAAAATTCTGCGCATGCGCATTACCAACTCTCTTATTTCTTATCCGAATTTAACCCAACTTGGTATGTATGTGTATCATATCCAATTCTAAATTTGTTGGAAATATTGAATTTTTGTTGTGCGCATGCGCATTACCAAATTTATTATTTCTTATCCGGATTTCATCAAACTTAGTCTTTATTAATTGACAAATATTCTTTTATTCCTAGTCAATATACTTTAAACTCCAGGCACTTTTGGATATTTGCATTTAGAGATGCAGAAAAGTATTTACATCTATGTAATTGCAATAGACCATCTTCGTATGTACCTGAATGTCGTAACCCGCCCTGCATCAGTACTGTTATTAGAACAGTTCTAGTTGTGGGACTTTGCTTTGAGCAAAGTCCCAGTTTGTTATCGAAATGTCAATTCTTTTTTTTTTTTTTTTTTTTGCAGTGCGAACGCAATTGCTTTGTTTTGCAAAGGACTATTTTTTGCAGTGCGTTGTTCGAACGCACTGCTTTGTTTTGCAAATGAATATTTTTTTTTTTTGCAAATGATTATTTTTTTTTTTGCAGTGCGTTCTTCGAACGCACTGCATTGTTTTGCAAATGACTATTTTTTTTTTTTTTTTTTTTTGTCTACTTCTGGTCACGCTCCCCAGCCAAAACTGCACATGTCACACATTGTCTGACACTATTATTTCTTATACTTTGCGTGTCGCTACTGTTTAAATGTAAAATGACGCATTTTCTTCCAACCGGAAATGACGTATGACGTTAACCATTCATTACGTATTTCGAATTACTGCTCTAATTCTGCATCTATTTTGACCGTAACTTTTGTTTTGTTCATTACTTTAAACCAATGACTAAAAGATAGCACTTTATAAAATTTCAGATTTTGACTTTTGTCGCTGACTTTTTTTGTTTTAATTTAGCGTTTTTTTTCAACTTCTACAATTTTATTTCAATCCGTCTAAAAATTTAATAGTATATAAGCATTTTGATTCCTGACAAAAATCTATTTTCAAAATTTCGATATCACTTCCGGTTTTGACGTCATTCGCCTCTAAACTTGAAATTTCAACTTCCGGAATTTTGTAGGTATTTGAAAAATTCTTTTTAAGTTAAAATTGTCCCTATAACAATTTTGGAATGAAAAAATTTGAACGGGAAGTAACGTGTTAGACGCCATCTTGATGTGACCAATTTTTGTAAAAATCGATATTAAGCTTCAGGGGTAAATCTGATTTGTGTGATTTTGGTGTCTAAAGAATCTGCAATCGATTGCTAACAAAACTTAGGAAGCCGATTTTTGAATTTTGGATTCGTATTTTTTATATTTCCGGTTTTATGTTTTCAGTAATTTTCAAAAATATTAGGGCTCATATCCAGTGACTTTGACCTTTGGTGACCTTGTGACCTGAACAAAAGTTGTTGCCCCTGACGAGATATATCCGATGATATCCTCACTTTTGTTGTGCATCGTTAACTTCCGGTTCTACAGCCATTGGAAAATCACGATTTTTAACTTTGAAGAGCTCTGTCACGTGACCTAATTAACATACGACAAAAATTCTTATATATTCTTTGAGTGCATAAAATCTCCTTTTTGGTGATATATCACACTTGATATTTTGATCAAAATTGCGCTTGAAAATCGAAAATTTTGTACTGACTTCTATAGTAACTGTGCGTAATATCTATAATCGGTCTATAATTTACCGATGGTCACCGTTGCCCTAAAAAAAGTTGTCATAACTCGCAAAGTTTTTAATTGTCATCCTAAACATTTTGCATGAAAGTAGATCACTGCTTAGGACAATTTGTGATAAGATTACAGTTGTTTACTATAAAAAAGGGAACAGGTTTAACAATTTTAAAAATTTTTATTTTTGAACTTTAATGTAAATGACCTTGACCTTTGCATGGTCAAAGGTCATTGATCTAAGATGACCGTTCTTACTTTGATTTTTGATGTGCAACATATACTTCCGGTTTTAC